ACACACACACACAAATAAATAAAAAATAAAATAAAATAAAATAATAAAAAAAGGAATACAGGGCTGGAGATATGGTTCTGTAGCATAGTGCCTGCCTGGCAAGTGCAACACCCTGAGTTCGATTACCAGTACCAAAACAAACAAACAAACAAAAAAGAACTAAAGAAAATAGTTTATCTAAGCTAGTTTATCTAAGCTATCATTCTTTTCTGGAATAGTCAAGGGGAATAAGGAAGCTTCAGTTACTGGCACATTTTGTCCTACTTGCCTCCCTATTTCTCATTTTAATTTTAATACTTCCTGGTAACCTAATTGCAACAGTCCCAAAAGAGGTTTTTTTAAAATTTTTGTACTGGGAAGTAAACTCAGGACCTTGCGCCTTGCCAGGCAGGCACCTGTGTCACTGAACTATATTCCCAACACCCGAGAGTTGTTTTTAGTAATATCAGGCAGGTATAATTTTCTTCATAGTTTTAGAAGATAACGTAACTACAGAAATATTTAGTTATGTTACAGTCCAAAGTCTTATTTAAATACATAGAAAGAAAAATACCATTAAGTAGAGAGTGCAAAGGTGTATTTCTGGATTCCTTTTAACTCTCTTGGGAGTACAGAAAAAGCCTGTGACGAAGCTTAGATGGCTATGTTAGTACCATGAAGAAGCTCAGGGCTGGAGACCTCTCTCTGGGGTCTGAGAGAATAGGAGAGCTACATAATAGTCAAATATGAAGGCTCTCTTAATCATTAATTAGGCTCTCTTACTCCTAGTTTGTTAGGTCCCTACTCACCTGCCCACTCACCAACTCTAAGCCAGTGGTGGCGAACCTGTGGCATGCATGAAAGCTCTTAAAGGTCTGCCATCACTACTCTAAGTGATCCCTTAACAACTTCCTTGCACACGTTCATCCACACAGAAGATACAGGTCGTGAAAATACATTTTATAACCTCAAGTAACCAGACAGATTCTTGAAATTCTGACTCAGTGCCTTAACACTCAGGATCTCAGCCTGGTATGCCAACAACTAATCACCTAACATACAAGTCATTCACACTGAAACCCTGCCAACCTCACAGAAGTGAAAAATGTTTCAAAAGGCTGACAGTATTATACAGACTGGACAGTATGAAGAGTCTACATCAGCCAGGTGTGGTGGCATGTGCCTGTAATCCCAGCACTCTGGGAGACTAACACAGGAGATCATTAAGTTCAAGCTCAGCCTGAGAAACTTAATGACAGCAATACTGTGTATTGCTAAAAAATAAAAAGGGCCAGGGATGTCGTTCATTGCAAAGACCCTGGGTTCAAGTACTGCCAAAAAGAGTTCACAGAATGCGTGTTACTCAAAGTTACTGAGGAACAGGCCTGGCCAGAGGAACACTCACATATAGGAACAAGTCTGTGTGGGAGTGAGAAATCCGGGGAAGGGGTTCTCAGCAAGGACTCTTGTGGTTTCTTTCATGTTCTGTTGAGATGTATAAAAGCACCTAGGTCCTCCCAGTCTCTGGTCCCTGCTGCAAGCCTCAGGCTTTCCTTGCAGCCCAAATCAGGGCAAAGGTAATACAAACTCTAAAACAAACTTTCAGGTGCAGTTCAGATATTACTCTTGTTCAAAGAAAACTGAGGACAGGGGGCCAGGGAGATGGCTAGTAGAATAAGCATTTCCCTGGCAAGCGTAAGGGCCTGAGTTCAATCCCCGGTTCCGGAAAAAAAAAAAAAAAAAAAGAAAACTGAGGACAACCAGTGGAAAAATAATACTGAAAACACATTATTTCTAACTTTTAACTGTGTGCAGGCTATATTGTAGATTAAGTTTTGCTTTATGAAGCAAAGGGCTCCATTCATATTTTTGTGATGCTAGGGCTATCTCTCAACTCTCCCCTATTTTGATCTTGTGAATCCACACCAAACTATCACTAACAGTCTCTTTTTCTCTAACACATATACAGTTTGTTAATAGTAAGAGTATTTATCTATAATCATATTATATTTTTATAGCACTTTATGGTTTATAAAGCACTTTGGCAAATACCATTTTACTTGGTCTTCACAATAGCCTACTGAAGAGTGCAAACCACAGAAATCCGCATTTTACAGGTAAGAGCAGAGAAGCTCAGTCAGGACGTATTCAACTATATCTATTTTATACTTCAGTTTAAAAAAAAATTAATGACCAAAACAGTATTAAAATCTTATTTTTCAGATCTGCCCCCATTTTTGTCTTCTGAGGCCCACCATAAGCTTTGTACTCATATATGGTCATTCACCTGGGCTTATCAACTGTCGCAATAGAAATCTACTCTTTGAGATACACAGCTCCCACTTCTAAACTAATCAACACTGATCTTCAGCACTTTCAAAAAATATGATCAAGTCACAGAAAAACACTAACCATTGAAATCTTTTTTTTTGTGGTACGGGGGATTGAACTCAGGACCCTGTGCTTGCCATGCAAGTGCTTATTCTACTGAGCTATCTCCCCAACCAATCCTTTCTTTTTAATGTACTTGGTACAGGGTCTCACTGTGCAGATCGGACTCATAGTGATCCTCTTGTTTTTAGCCTCCCCAGAGCTGGGATTATAGATGTGCGTCACCACACACGGTCTCAGTGGCTAGCTAAGCGTGCCTAGGTGTGGGGTCAGTACAGCATGTGGTGCCAGGGATCAAACCCTGGTCCCTATGCTTGCATAAGCAGGTGCTTAGTTCACTGAACTATCTCACTCACCCCATTAAAATCTTTTTTAAAAATCAGTTAATGTTTAGTTAGAAGGAAATTACTTGGCAATTCAAGTTTTATTTCATGCCATTATAATTTATAAAATTTACAACAGCAAGAGCTGATAACATTTTACAATCATTCTTTTGCCTAGTTAAAAATAAATTCTGCAATATTCATTCCTATTTTTCCTCAACTGAACACGATCAATATGTTAGAAATATGGATTCATGTAAGTGGCTGTGCATATGTATGCTAGCATTCCTCTAGATCATGACTCTTTCTAATCATCTCTCTTTACTGGAAAGAAAACCAATAATTACTGAAATAAACCTATGAAACTTTGGGAGAAGAAAGAAGTAGCAAGCTGGTGGACAGCTTCGAAGAATAAGAATCAAGTAATACAAAGGACAGTCAGTAGGAAGTATTTTCTCCTTAATATATGGAATCTAAAAAAGACGTGAAAGTAGTGACTACTAGACAAGTGGAAGAGATTAACAGAGGAGAAAGGAATGTAAGGGAGGGTAACCGGATGGAACATCTGTGATCAAAATATGTGCATGCAAGGAAATACTGCAGCGAAACCCCCCCCCCTTTTTTTTTCTTTTTATAGTACTGGGGATTAAACCTAGGGTCTTCATACTAATCCGTATCTCTAGGCCTTTTTTTTTTTTTTTTTTGAGACAGTTTCATTAAGTACTAAGTGACTCAGGCTGACTTGGACTTGAAATTATATGACCCTTCTGCCTCAGCCTTTTCATATGGGGATGCAACATCACACCTGCCTTAAAACCCAGTACTCTGTACAATTAATAGGCACTAAAACTTTATTAGGAGAGAGAGAGAGAGAGAGAGAGAGAGAGAGAGAGAGAGAAAAAAAAAAAAAAAGGAATCAGTGAAACACTAACAGTGTATCTTCCAAAATCACCCATTCTCTAATTCCCATGAACATAACTTTAAATGAGCAGACATTACTTTGCAGAGCCTAAAACTAAAAATGAAAACTCAACATCAAAGGAACCACAAAATTTTACCTCTAATGCCAAGGCAGTCTTGTCATAAGCACAGGGTACTCTTTTCTGGATTGCTTTTGCAAAGACAGGTCCATTCTGTGTAGAGGGCAAAGGGTTGATCGCTGCCCCAGGAGTACTGGAAACTGCAGGTAGAGGAGTTGTGGTCTGAGGTTGAGCATATGCATGAGCAGGTTCTGGGATGCCGTAACTGTTGGAATTCCTATTGCCATGCTTTCCATGTGGCGAGGATCTCACAAGCTTTTCAACATAAGGGACAGGAATCATTCCAACCCGGCCATCCTTGTTCCGGGCACTCCACCACTGTTCTTCAGGTTTCTCTATTATCACTAGGATCTCACCCTTCTTAAAGGGCAGGTCTTCAGCATCATTCCCAGGAAAATCATACAGAGTTCGTACATATTCCAGATTTTCTTCTGCTGTAGGCAAGTTGGGTGCTGAGACTGATCCCATGGGTGGACTCGGATACCTTAGGAGAGAAAGAAAATTATCCTATGGAAAAAGTCTTATTCTATTTACTCTACCAGTGTTTGTCAAACATAAATCAGTCCTTTGTAATGGATTATTTCTCTCTCCTTTCAGAGGATGACAAAGTTTTGTCACACTGCCTGTCATATGCACATGTACACACACACACAATTGTTTTACCCGACTTAAATGTGTTTTTAAAATCTGAGATGGGCTCAGTAGCTGTCTTCCTCTGGACCCTGTCACAATCACTGCACACTCTTCCTCCCAGGTCTAATCTACACTTCTCCAGGCACATAAAAATGACAGACAGACCTGTCTCTGATTCCTCAAAATACAAAAAACAAAAGAGGATTTATTTTGTTAAAAAACAAAAACAGAACAGTACATGTCGTCTTGTACAAGAATTATCTATTAAATGAATACCTGTGAAAGATTTCACCACAAAAATAGCAGATAAGATCTCTAAAGCACCAGCCCTGAGGCACCACTGCCTTCACCTTGCTTACAGACCAGTGTACATTTGCTGAGTGACTCATAGAATACATTCCCAGAGTCAGCTACAAGAGCCTTGGTATTAGAGCATGTGCAAGGTCCTAGGTCTGACCCTTAGTACTACACACACCTGTTCTCCAGAAACATCTCATGTGCAAAACCACTGTAAGTTGCTTTTCACCTAAGAAATATTCTGCAAAGTTTCAAATACATGAAGTTTTGGAAAAAACTATTTTACCATTAGCAGCCTTTGGCTGGGCATGGTGGTACACTCATCACCCCAGTACTTGGGAGGCTAAGGCAGGAGGATCACTGCAAGTTTGAGGCCACAAAGTGAGTTCAAGGCCAGCCTGAAGTGCAGAGTGAAACTGTCTCAAAAAGACAAAAACAAAACAAAACACCACAAAACAACAACAAAAACATTACCCATTCTTAATTTCTCTGAAGCACAGAATCTGTACCAGCTTAACAAACCATGGGCTTCATCCAGGGCCTGTACCTCTTTAGGTGATGGCTCTACCAACTGAACCATTACCAAAGCCCAATTTTAGAACTGCTCTGAGAATGTGCTGGAAAAGAAAGGGCAGGCCTGTTTATAATCACTGGGAGGTGGTTCCAATTTATCTTCATTTAGCTAATGTCCATGTTCCTTTTTCCTTAACCCAGCAAAGATCTATAAAAAAGTTAATATTACAAAGTGACCTCTTACCTATGTTGAAGCATTTTGATTTAAAAAAAAAAAAAAAGAAAGAAAGAAAACAAAACAAAACAAAAGAAAAAGACAGTTCTGGGCCGCTGGTCATAGATCAATGGTAGAGTATTGCCCAGCATCCTAGCATATAGCTCTGGGAAACAGTCCCAGGGCCCAAAAAAAAAAAAAAAAAATTGGTAGGGGAGTACCAGGAATTAAACCCAGGGCCTTGTACTTGCCAGGTAGGTGCTGCACTGCAAAGTTATATCCCCAGGTGTTGGAAAGGAATATTTTATAGCTCTGTCCTAAGGAAACTACAAACATCCTTCCCATTTTCACTCTGCTTTTCCTTGGTTCAATTTATGGTTTTCTTTTTAAAATTTATTTATTTCAGTTTTGTAGGGCTTAAACCTAAGGCCTTCAGACTGAGCTAAATCCTTGTTTTTATTTTTTGAGATGGGATCTCTCCAAGTTGCTGCTTAGGCTGAGCCTGAACTTGTGATCCTCCTGCCTGAGCCTCCCTTAAGTGCTGGGATTACAGGCATGTGCCACCAATACTGGTTGTTAAAGTTTTCTTAAAATAGAATAGTACATATAGCTGGGCCAGTTTTTCTGACTAGGATTACACTAAGCTGTTTCTCCATGTTTCTGATCCTCAGGATGACCATTTTCATGACAAAGTATCATCTGCGAGCCTATGCAAAAAAAGCACCTATGGATATTTACTTTTTCTAATTCTCTCCTATCTAATCATTAGTATTACTAAACCTTTTTGAGCATATTTTCTTTTTTCTTTCTTGGTGATAGGGACTGATATGGACTCAAGTATGCTAAGCACATTCTCTACCACTGAGCCATACTCCTAGACTGGGCATGTTTTCCCTACATTAGACTTTCTGTAAAGCTTAGACTCCCAGAACTGGAATTACCAGATTAAAGAACATGAACATTTTTATGGCTCTTCGTATACTACACTGCTTTCCAAACAGCAGCCTTCATAATTTAACAAAACTTTTATCTTTTTTTGTTTGATTTTCTGAGAAAGGATCTTCTACGTTGTTCAGGCTGGCCTTGCACTCATTATGTAGCCTAGTGATCAAATTCACAGTGATCTTCCTGCCTCAGCCTGCCAAATGCTGGGATTGAGGCATGCACCACAAAACCCAGCTCATCTTTTTTTTAATGCAAATAACTAGCTTTACAAAATCCTCAGAAGCCTAGTCCCCTCTCCCGGAGCTTTTGAGAGTGGGTGGGTAGGTACTAAAGATTGAGCATTAGGCCTTTGCATTGAGTTACACTCCCAGCCCTTTTTATTCTACTTTTGAGACAGGGTCCCACAAAGTTGTTAAATTTCCCATGCTACGCTCCATCTTTCTGGTTCAGCTTCCCAGAGTGCTGGGATTACAGGCATGTGCAGCCAAACCAGCCTGTCTTGTTTCTTATTAGCCAAGGCAAATTGCATAGTATCAGTTCATTTAAAAAATGAATAGCAGAAATACTAGGAGGAACAACAGTAATAAGATGCTAATAATAATTATGCCAAGAACCATTTACAGTCTATAAAGATATTAAGTTAATTCTTACAACAATTCTGGGAGGTAGATTCCATTATCCTCATTTTACAGAAGAGGATGCCAAAGCAGAAATTAGATGTGCACCCAGACAGTCTGGTTCTAGAGCTTTGTTCATTAACTGTAAGCTATGGAGCCTTGGAGATAAACTCTGGATCTTTGAGGTATAAATGAACTCGTGTCATAATGCATTGAAAATACATAAACTCTAGAAGAACAAATTAGTACTCTTCAAAGTATATCCCCGTTTCTATTTTTTTTTTTGGTGGAACCAGGGATTGAACTCACACCCTTGCACTTGCTAAGGAAGTGCTTATTCCACTGAGCCATCTCCCCGGCCCCCCTGTTACTATTTAAAGAGCCAGAGTCTTTGAATAATTCAGTGAGTACAATATAAAATTCTGACACTTTATGAAGGGCACAATCAGTTCTGTGTCAGAGCTCACTGTCGGGTATTTTATCATAGCTTTTATATAATTAAAAAGTTTTTCAGCTAGGGAGAGTGGCACACATCTGTAATCCCAGCACTCAGGAAGCTGAGGCAGGACAACACTGAGCTCAAAGCCAGCCTGGGCTACACAGTTCAAGGCCCGCCTGAACTACACAGCAAGATTCTATCTCAAAAAAACCAAAACAACGGCAGCAGCAACAAAACGGCCTCTGCACATTCACCTGTGACTCTCAGTGGCACCACTTACAGCAGTGGCAAACCTACGGCATGTGTGTAGCAGCTCTAAATGGTTTGCCATCACTGCTCTACAAAGTTAAAGTCATACCTCTTCCCCTACCTTCAGCATGCAGTATCCCAGAATGGCTGTTAGTTCCCACTAACATATTCCCAAACCCATCTGAATTCAATTCAGCTCTTCATGGTCCCCTACTATAAGAGGCTCTCCCTACCGTGTGTCCTCCTGAGAAATTTCTAACAGTAAAACTGATCCTCAGCATGACAAAAAAAAAAAGTGAAACTGATCATGATAATTCTTTTTAGAAATCTAGGAGGTGTCCCATTGTTAACCTCATTTATAAGGCCCAGAAGGCCATTTACAGATCAGCTCTACCCTTCCCACCTACTTTCCTGTCCAAAACCCACATTAGTGATAACCCTGTGCCTTTCCCACCAGGTCCTGCCACCACCTCTTCCACCTCATATACGAGTTCTCATCTTTTTTTTTTTTAGTTCTCGTTTTTCAAGATCAGTTGAAAGAGTACCTCCTCTTTCAAGCCTTCTCCAACTCTAAGCACAGTTTGACACCTTTCTTTCTAGCTACCATGGTCTTTTACTTTAATTTTTCCAATAGACTGAGCTTCCCAAAGACAAAAAACGTATTTTCTTCCCATTTTATGGTTTTGTGTGTAGTTTTGGGCTTTGGTAGGCTTCAATATACGAAACATTTCTCAATTCTATCCCTTATTTTAAGATGGTCTTGATTTGAATGTTCAAATATTTTGAGTAGGAAAGGCGTGATGAAAGCCCGTTTAATGAGAGTTCCCATCATGACTCTCCGATTAGACTACGCAGTCTTCAGGGGTCTCCTCCAGCCCCTTTTCAGGCATGGAAATGACCTTCTAAACACTAGACCTTACTCCTGTTGATCCCAGCACCTCTGGCAGGCTGAGGAGCAAGGATCACACGTTTTAGACTAGCTTGGGTAAGTTTTAGACTAGCTTGGGTAATGTAGTGAGACTTTTTTTTTTTTTTTACTATTTTCTTTTTTGGTACAGGGAATTGAACTCCAGGCTTCTCGCTTGCTAGGCAGGCACTGCGCCACTGAGCCACATCCCTGGTGCAGTGAGACTCTTAATTAAAAAATTAAAAATTTTAAAAGAATTGCAAGGGGCCGGGGAGATGGCTCAGTGGAATAAGCGCTTCCCTAGCAAGCACAAGGGTCTGAGTTCAATCCCCGGTTCCGAGAAAAAAAAAAAAAAAAAAAAAAAAAAAAGAATTGCAGCTGTAGTTCACTGGTAAAGGCCTCAGGTTCAACCCCTAATATGGTAAAAACAAACTCAGTAATCAGTAAGCTCCTAGGCACATCTCAAAGACTAGCCAACTCCAAAAACCAAGTTCATGTGATACTCATATCTGTTGTAACATGATTTTTCTCAAAAGGTCAATTCACTTAGTTTTTAAATGATGCTTTTTGTCACAATTTTTTTCCCCTCTTCTTAGCTTGCATTTATCTACACAAGCTAGAACTTGAAAACTGTAAGGCAAAGTAAGCTATACAAAACACATTTTCAAGT